ACCAATGTGCATTTTCTTGTGATGTCAGCTATTGGGACAGACAAAGGAAAATATCTTCGGACTCTGAGCAGAGGCAGCGAGAGAAGAGTGGTGAGCTGTCTGCCTGTCAGATTTCCATCCACATGGGAGGTAAGGAAGGGAGCAATCAAAAGCATCCAGTAGATTCCACACACAAGTCAGGAAGCTTGCCACCTGCCCTCTTCTCTGTGCCTGTCACCCCAGCAATTTCTAACCCTCCTATGTCCCCCAGGCAGTCGGCCCATGACTCTTGGCCTTCAGGGGCTTTGTCAGCTGCTCCTGTCAGAATATGCAGCAGATTGTATAACTGGCTCCCACAGGCACTGTTGCCCTTCACCAGGAGAGCACCAGCGCATGCCACACACTCTGCACCTCGTTATATCCTCAATATCCCAGGGCAAAATGGCAAGTGTGAGAGGTACTTTAAGAAACTGAACAGAACTGACATGGGAATATAACTACCTACTCTGGCTTTGGGGACTCATCCTAATGCAGAGCTAATGGAAGTACAAAGGATCTAACCCACTAGTCTGGGGTGAAGCCAACAGCCCCAAGTAAATGGATGATCAGCCCACAGTCCAGAGTCCCAGCCTTGGGAAGCCATCTCCCATTAGCACAATCCCCAAATTAGTAGCAGATCGACCCGGAAGATGGGCTCTCTCCGCCAGGATTCTGTCCCCCTGCCCGGTAGCATCAGTCTCCTGAGCAATGCTCTGTGACACCTCTCCCAAGCCCACCTGTTCCTGGTGCAGTCACCCAGGCTCGCCCACAGCTCAGAGACTGCCCAAGCAGAGGAGGGTGACAATTAAAGGTTGCTAAACGCGGCAGACGAAAAACTGCCGATGGCATCACTCTGCCATCAATCCTACAAGAGCCTCTTCATCCATCCTGCTGCTCGGAATAGAATTCTTGACAAAAGCAGTGACATTAGGCTGGCGACATCACATTTCATGTCAAGTGAATCACAGCATCTCCCAGTTAGTGGGACCCTAACAGTCCCCGAGTATGGGTCTAAGATGGTGATTCACCCTCTGAGTCACTCCTTTCGAAAGAAAGCTCCAAGCCTCCTGGGGCCCTCCTTGACAGGAAGCTCCTTCTCAAGGTGGCTCTTTGGCTTCAAACTGCTCCTCACTCACACAGGCTGTCCTCATGCCTGGCCAAATGGGTTCCCTCGTCTCTTCCAACGTGACCCTCGTGTGGCCTCCTCCATTCTGGGACTTCTGGTCACTGAGTAAAAATTCAGGTTTCACCTCCCAAAATCATCTGGCACAGCCTTCTCCTCCCAGCATTCCCTTTCTGCCAAGATTCCTGTACTTGCTACTAAGAAGGTCTGGCCAGGCCTTGTAAGAACATCTCTAGCAGGCTACACTTCTTCCTGGGGTGCAGCCTCAAGAACAAAGCACTCCTGGCCAACAGCGGCAGCCAGCCTGCCTGGCAGCAGTCACCTTTGGGCAACCACAGGAGAAAATGTTGAGAGCACAGGTACTGACGTAAATGCTGGCCTCAAGGACCTTATCTGTAGAAGAGAAAATGCCCACAGACACCAGTGCAAGAAAGCACTGAAACAAAGACTCCAGCAACATGCTGAGGCATATGTGTCAGGGAAAGCAGATTGTGTGAATGGAAAACCCAAGAACTTTGAAGCCAAGACGGCCTGATTTAAATCCCAGGCCTGTCACCCTCTAGCTGTGAGACCGTGGACAACTTTACTTGCCTCAATTTCCTCATCTGTAAATGGGGTATGACACCCACCTGGCAGGAGCGTTGAGGAGGTTAGACAGGTTGAGTGTAGAACCCTCAGCCCCATCCCTGGCACTCAGCAGGCACTATGCAGCAACAGAGAACAGCGTTACTCCTAAGGAAAGCAATCTCTCAGTCAGACTTTTTAAAGCTGATCAAATGCTTAAGGCTGACATTGGGAGCAGAGGGAAAGCCTGCACAAAAGCTTAGTGAGGGGAGTGAACAGAGCAAATGTCTCGGGTCTACCATGTATGAGGGATGGAGTCGGGTGTAAAGCCAGAGCAGGGGACTAGAGCAGGATTGCTGCAGTATCAGGATTGTTGGCAGGGTGCTAAAGAAGGACCCATTTGCTGCGTTTCCCTCCACCAGTGGGTCCCATCTGAGGATGTGGGACCCGACATGTCCTCCAGGTGAGAGAGCAGCCTGCAAGCTTCTCCTAAACTGTTCTGAAAAGCAGATGCTCCTTTTGCATAGCACAGGGGCTTCTGCCCCATACTGCTTATCTTCCTAAATTATGGCTCACACATAGCATTTGGAGTCTACTCTCTAGAAGCCCTGATCTGCCCCAAATATCCCCAGGAGCGAGGTTCCCTCCACCCATGCTGCAAGTCCTCCCACTGTGCCCACTTAGTATCCCTTCACTCTCACCCAGGAGACTCTCCCACCTGTATTTGGAATACATTAAGTAGCCTCTGGTCCTATAAAGCTCTCCAAAGCAAACATCAGACCTAACCCCAATCTCAACACCTGCTGCATTACTCCTGTTTATCTGGAAGACAGTGAGCAAACCCCTTTCTCTGAACTTCCTTCTCAAAGCTCACCTCATGCAGGAAATCCTCTATTCAAGTTCACACAAACCACAGTTTGACAGGTTGCTGTGAGGGGGAATAAACATTGGCCAGGGCCCGGTGAACGGGACACCATTGCTAGAGGACTCAGAAAATGTGCCGTGGGACTCGCTACCAGGTGAGGAATGTACATCTCAGCGCTTGCTGAAGCTGGTAACAGGAAGGAGCCATAAGGGCTGGCCAGGGCTTTGACTCTGGGACTGCAAAGTGTGACTTTTAGTTTCAGATGAAGGATGGTGGAGCCAAAGGCTGGAGAGTGGCCTTTCTCCACCACTGCTGTGAGTCCCACATATATGCCCTGTGATTCCAGCAAAGCAGCAAGCAGAATCTCAGTCTTGTGGTGACATTAGGCTCAGGAAGCCAGAGTTTGTTTCCCACCCCACTCATCTGTTATCCGGCAGCCACAGATAATCAATATCCAGTTAGTAAGACTCTGCAAGCTCCAATGAGATGAACTGCCTGATCAACAATTGCCAGAATCAGGAACTCTTGGGTGAATCTATACTTCTGGAAAGTCTTTCTTTTGTCAGCATTTTTTGGGAAACCTCCCACTGTCCTGTAGCTAAGCATGCTACTCTTTTTGCCAGCTGGATTCTCAAAAGCCTGTCACCCCACAGTTTCTGGGACTGAAGCTCCCAGAACACAGCAAGTCAGGCAAGGTCTCAGCATAACACTGCCTTTGGTAGGCCCTGGGTCTTCTGAACAATCTGGATTCTGGTGACACCCAGTCCAGAGGATGAACAGGACAGTGACTAAAACTGACCCACCAACATCAGGGCTTCCTGGACAGTCAGCATTTGTTTCGCTGAATCCATGCAGAGTAAGAAAACAAGAGAAACTTCAGGGCAAGCAGGATAGTGTCCCAGTTTCTCCTTCACCTGAGGCTAGGCTGAAGCAGAAGGCTTCCCTCCCTTCCTCATGCCACCCTTGAGATACAGAGGTGGGCATCCACTAGGGAGTGCCAGCCCCCATTCACACAGAAAGGAAGACCCTGACTGACCCCAAGCTATGTCTGGAAGCTGACAGGGAGTGGTGGAGCCCAGCAGCACCTTGTGTGCTCCAGGCAAAGTGGTGTGAGGCTGTGGGTGACTCCAGGGTCAGCTGACTGCGGCTAGAGAGGGCCAGTCCCAAGTGCCTGGGAGAAAATCTGGGCCACAGAGGGGGAAGGTCCCAGACCACAGAGGATGAAGGTCCCTCTTCCATGGAGTTTGTTCAGGAGACATGGACAGTGCCTTGGCAGGCCCAGAGCTGAGGGGGTACACTGTGGGGAGCAGCCTTGGGTACACCTAGGGAAATGGCCTGATCAGAATCCTGTGGCCAGCGCAGCTCCACTCCACTCCCCACCCCCCCACCCCCCAGAACACATCACACACTCTTTTCTCCACAGACTGCCCAGCACAGTAAAGCTCCAGCAAGCAGCACTCGCTGCTTCCCCCAGTCAACCTCCTCACTTATCCCAGGGGTATCCTGCCGAAGGACCAAGCAGCTCTCACTTTTCCTGCACCTTCCTTCAGCTCCCAGCAATGCTAAAATCTCACCAAGTGTTTGCGGTATCAGTACTAACAGTGGATCCAAAGACATTGCTGGGTGAATCTGGCTAGCGGGTTAGTGGTTAGTGTTTACTGGCACACAAGGTACTGCATCAATAGATGAATTAGAGTCCAGTGTTTTAAGATGAGGGTTCCTGGCTTGTCTTTCTATAACTAGAATGTCTGGGTGCAAGGGCTCCTCACTGCTGAATGGCAAAATGGGCTGAAATGAGGAATGGATCTCCTTTAAACGGGGCCTGATCACAGAACAGATGCTGTAGGGGTCTGCCCCACGCCCTCTCAGCCCACCTGAGCTCACCAGAAGCCATGGTGCTGCTGGGCATGCTGTCCATGGCCACAGCCTGCACGGCTCTGCTTCTCTCACTGAGGACTTTCTCCAACGCAAGCTGGCACTCAGGACAGCCCAGATTTAACGCCCTCAAATAAATTCCTGACTCACACAGGAATCAGCAGATTAAAAACCACCCACTTCCCTGTCCTCAATGGTATGATTCTGAAGCATATTCCTCATGGTTACTCACTGAGTCCCCAGTGGCGCTGTGTTACAGTAACCCACAGGGGCAATCGCTCCTTCACATGCCCTTTGTCGGTTTTCTCCCTTTCTGCCTCACTGCCCCCACCCTTCACTTGTGCTTACTGGAATCACAAGCCAAATAAACTACGTGCTCTCAAGTCCTGCCTCAGGGCTCATTTTAGGGGACAAGGGGAACCCATCCTACTGATCTAGCGCATCATGAGCTATGTGATCCCACAAACATGGCCCTCGTGGCATACCCTCCTGATCAACAGCTACAGCAGCACCCCCGCACACACACCCAGCGCTCCTTGGACAGGACAGACTCACCTCCCCCGAGTAACTGTACTTGCCCCTGAGGATCTGCCGGTATAGCCGGGTACGGTTGTCGTCCTCAAACGGCATAGTGCCACTGAGCAGGATGTAGGCAATCACACCCAGCGCCCACATGTCTACTGAGTTGGTATAGGGCTTGCGCACCAGGACCTCGGGGGCGATGTACTCGGGTGTGCCGCAGGTGGTCTTCATCAGGCAGTCGTCACCCTTCTTGCGGGCACTGGCCAAGCCGAAGTCAGTGATGATGATCTTGGAGTCAGTGCCCGGGTGGTAGTAGAGAAGATTCTCAGGCTTGAGGTCTCGGTGTGTGATGCCCAGTGCATGCAGATACCGGACACCATCCAGCACCATCTGCAGCACCCGTGTGGCATCACGCTCAGTGAAAGAACCTTTGGCAATGATGCGGTCGAAGAGCTCTCCGCCAGTGGCCAGCTCCATCACCATGTACACGCGCTCCTGCGTCTCAAACACCTCCACCAGCTGGATGATGTTGGCGTGGCGCACTCGGCGCAGCACACGCAGCTCTGACTCACATACCTCCCGTCCCTCCCGGTACTTGGTCTCGATCATCTTGATGGCATATGGCTGCCGGGTGGCCCGGTGCTCCACGCGGACCACTCTGCTGAAACTGCCTCGGCCAATCAGGGCTTTGATGTCATACTTGGCTGTCACACGGGGGTCGAACTTGGCTCTGTACTTAGCCACCCTGGCCCTGCGTGGTGGTTCTGAAGGAGGTTCTGTGTGGCCAGTAGTGGTGGCACCAGGACAGGGGCTGGCAAACTGACTGGCAGCTGGGAACCCTGCTTTGATAGGGCCAACACTGTCCACCTCTGTGATGAAGTGCTTGTACACATCACTCTTGGTGCCACTGAAGGGCTCCACCTTCTTGACCAGATCCAAGTGGACATCCTTGGGCGGCTCAGGAAGGACCTTGCTTGTCCCACAGCCCATCACGGACACGGGGGCATCCTCTCTGGCGAGGCTGGCAGGACCTGCTCTGCAGGCAGTGCCCCGTCTACACCTGTGCAGAGAGATGAGGGACAAATCAGTGTGTCTCCTCTGAGGGGACACCAGTCATCCTCCTGACCCCTCTCATTTGTCCCTCAATAATCCCAGCCTAATTAAGATTGCAGACCTGATTTTTTTGAAGATGTATTTATTTATGCATATAAGAACCAGGGTACAGGCCAGAGGTGTCAGGGTGAGAGGATTCACCAGAGATAGCAATGGGGAGCAACTGAAATATACTGCTGAGGGGCGCAGTGGGTGGGTCAGGAGAGATCTACCAAACCATGTGTGTCAGCTCCCTAGCCAGAGATCAAACTCGTGCTGCAGTGGTTGAAGCTAGCTTCTTAGTGCTGATCTTTAACCTGTTGTGCCACCCAGGAGAGCCCTACAGACCTGATTCTAATGTGGCTCCCTGCAAAGAGGATGGCTTTGGTTTCTGAGTGCTGGGAGCCCAGGCTCAATGTAGGGTCTAGATGAAGACGAGATGAGCTCCATGGCTGTGACTGATATCTTCCTGGGTCTGATTCTTTCCCCACTCCTCAACCTCGAGAAAGGGCCAGGAACATGCACCAGACTCAGTTATCACTGCCCCCACCCTCCTCCGTACTCTGCCTGGGTCCCTTATCCTAACTGAAGTCCTGGTTTTTAAATGTTAAAATCATTCCTCTGACTCATCTTTTCTGAAATGGGGGTGTGAGTGCTGGAGGTCTGCTCTCCAAAACTATCTTCCACCAAGGCTTAGAAAACCACTTCTCCAAAGCCTTCCTCATTAATCTCTTTCCTGATCCCCTACACCTCCAATACGGATTGATCCCCTATCACCCCAACCTCCCCAGCAACAAACAACCCATGTCCTGGGTCTCTGTCCTAACTTCGCTCTTCCCTAGCTAACTCCTTTGCTAATGTACCATCTTCACTCTCGTAGTCTAACTCCCTGTTCCAGGTCCCTCACTTTTCTAGCTCACCAAACAGATGGCTAACAAGGCCATACAAGTCCTAGACATGGCTGAAACCAATCTCAGTGAACCTGAGAGCACAAGCCTTAACACATCACCACCAGCGAGCCACCAAACTAGTTTAGGCTTCACTCAAGAAGCAGAAGGGGCCTTGAATTCAGGAAAGACATCGCCAACTTAGTTTCCTCCCGATGTGACTCAGGTCATGGACTGGGACACTGCTTCTTTGGGATGACAATCCAAGGGCCTTCCCATTTACTTCCCAGAGATGTTCCAGCTATTGATACCCTGTGACTTGTCAGGTACTTGTTAAAGCACTGCTTTTCAGAGGTCACTTTTACCCAGGCTGCCTTTCTCTAAGGGTAAAAGGAAAGAGCTG